TTAGGTCAAGGAGATAGATTCTTCTGTCCAGTGAGGAGGCTACTTTAGGGCAGCCGGGTCCAACGGCCATAGGAGACGTTCCACAGAAGGGAGAGGCACGACTTTGCTATGCTTTATGCATGCAGGTGGCTCTCCTTATAACACCCTCACTGTGTGTTTTCAGAAACAAACAAAACATAAACAAAACTCTCCCTTTCTGAGACTCACTGTGGGAACTCTGAGAACCCTTGGCAGGGGGTCGGTGCCTCTCTTTCTAGCTCAGGCCCTTTGTGTGGGCTCTGTTTGGCATGCAGTGCTGTTCCCATGGGGACTGGAGCCTCCAGAATCTCCCCACACTCACTGTTTTGGCAACTGGCTAGCAAACCTCCCCCGGAGGAGTACAGGGTCCTTGAGGAGACGGCGTGGGGCTGCTCTGATTGTGGTGGGGTTTGGGGGCTCCTTTTCATAGTTTAGTCCCCACGTCTTACAGTGGCTGCTAGAGTAGCCATCACCCCCACTGCTTACCCTATTAGACAGAAATTGGCAGTAAAATTTGAAATGTTATAGCCAAAGGAAGATCTGCATTGTGTGATTAAATACAGAGAACCCTGCAGCCCACCAGCTGAGCAGAATGACACGATCATTTCATTTCCCAGCACCATAGTGGGAATGATGATGCCCTGATTTAAGGTTCAGTGTCCACTTTTCTCCCTTCCAGAGAACCATGTCAGGTCAGCAGCAAAAGTGCAAGCTTGCCACGCAGGAATCACTGGCCTTGAGCAGAATTCAAACCCCCTTGGCGTGCCTGTTATGGAACGCGGAGCCATCTGTGCTGGTCCGAGTCTGAAGAGCTCTGAGACCGAGTTCTTTCATTTTCCTACAGGGCTGTATGCTGCCCTCAGTCAGGTGTAGATTTGAGGACCCTGTGTTTCCTGAATGAAGGGAGGAACTATCTTCAGGAGCTGCAACTGCGAGCTTGGTGAACAGGCACTGATCATCTGCAGGGGCATTTATTTCAATGCTTAAAGACAGGTCCCTGTGTACACACAGGGCTACAGTGGCTGTGATGATACCCCCAAGGAGTTCACCTTCTTTATTTGACAAATACAGAAACAAAGCCCAGAGCTGGCTTCATCTAAATGTTCCCATTCCTGCTTTGTTCCTGAAAAGTTTCCAAGCTGCCCTTGCAGTGAGGCAGTGAAAACCAGGGCTCACTCCAGGTGCTGAGTCCCCACTCCGGGCTCCTATTAGGCCGTGCTGCCTGCCCCACTACTCAGCCTTACACCATGGAGCTCGCAGGGTAGTGAATGCTACAGGAGACACTGTGTGTCTTTCTTGTTGTTGTTGCTGTTCAGATGGAGTCTCGTACTGTTGCCCGGGCTGGAGTGCAAAGGCACGATCTCAGCTCACTGCAACGTCTGCCTCCCGGGTTAACGTGATTCCCCTGCCTCAGCCTCCCTACTAGCTGGGATTACAGGCACATACCACCATACCCGGCTAATTTGTTTTTGTATTTTTAGTAGATATGAGGTTTCACTATGTTGGCTAGTCTCGAACTCCTGATCTCATGATCCGCCCGCCTTGGCCTCCCAAAGTGCTGAGATTACAGGCATGAGCCACCGCGCCTGGCTGATGCTGTGTGTCTTTAACCCAACAACAGCACTCCTTAGGAGACTTGGAGGAAAATGTCACGTCACCCTCAGGAGCACCAGAGGGCTGTGCAGTGGCATGAAGGTCCCTGGTACACAGCAGGGCCACAGGGGAAGTGGAGGAGTCACTGTGAGCTGCCGACACCCGCACTTTGCTGCTGTCTTCCCTCTCACACGCATCCCACCTGTGTGGATGTGGGCCCCGTGCACGCCTCTGTGAAATGCCCGCCTCACCTGGGGGACTGCAGTGCGAAGGCACCACGCAGATGTCCCTCAGCCTCCCTTCTGCAACTAGAAGGCAAGGCACCATGCTTCCTCTTTTATGGATGAGGACGGTGAGGTTTGGACAGGGAAGTAACTAGCTCACGTTCACAGGAACAGACAACGTTGGAAGTAAGATTTGAGGCCGCACTGTGTTGTAGCCCTAGGTTTTATTCTCCTTCCCCATCTTGCCTTTCCTTATTATTTCCAAGGCAGGTAACTGTATTCTGATGCTTGCTTAGAACAAGCCAAGCAAACAGGAAAGAGCAGAGAAAACCTGCTACTTCTGGAGGTCTGGCCCAGGAAGGCTGTCAGGACCACAAGAGAGGGCTCTGCAGGGCTATGAGGCTGAACCCTGGGGCCAGGGTACCTTCTGTGCTCCCCACTGACCTTCACAGAGCTTCTCGAGCTCCAGAGCTTTCCTCTGAGCCCATGTCCAGGAAGGGACCCTCCTATCAGCTCCCAAATTCTTTTCAAAATTTTTATATTTATGTATTTATTTTGAGACGGAGTTTCACTCTTGTTGCTGAGGCTGGAGTGCAATGGCGTGAACTCGGCTTGCTGTAACCTCTGCCTCCAGGTTCAAGCAATTCTCCTGCCTCAGCCTCCAGAGTAGCTGGGATTACAGGCACCCGCCACCACGGCCAGCTAATTTTTAAAAATTATTTATTTATTTATTTAATTTTTATTTTTAGTAGAGATGGGGTTTCTCCATGTTGGCCAGGCTAGTCTTGAACTCCTGACCTCAGGTGATCCACCCGCCTTGGCCTCCCAAAGTATGGGATTATAGGCGTGAGCCACCGCGCCTGGCCTCAGCTCCCTTGTTCATCTCCCTTTGCTCTCTTCCTGCCTGCAGCAGTGGGCTCTTCCCAGGTCTTGAATTAGGCACTTTCCTGGTGCCTATGGAAAAGTAGCCCCTTGGAGCCTGAAATGTTCTCTCCCTGTTCCTCTATCCCCCTGGCCCCCTTCTCTCAGCTAGTGTCTAGCACTTTCTTTCCAGATTCAGAAGCCACTTCCTCATGGTGGCAGCCTTTCTGGAGCACCATATTTACACCCCAGTGTCCTTGGAGATAACAGGATCCTATCCCCAGGAGGTACCCAGGGAGGATGAGGCCACCTCTAATCCCACTCATCTCTGTGTCCTGGGCCACCACCAGCCTGGCTACAGGGCAGGGGAAACATGGGGACCTTGTTGAATTTAAAAATGGGATGGAGACTCTTGTTCATGGGAACAGAGGGCCCCTTAATGGACACTGTGATTTTATTACCTGTGATCAATAAGAAAATCGGGTGCTGAAGAACCCACCAAATGTAGTCAACACCAGGAGAAGAAACAGGAAAGCCCGCAGGCCATGAGACTTGCTGTGTAGCCCTGGAAGGCCCACTGTGCCCTGAACGTTTCCAGGAAGATGAGAGTGGTGATGTCTAGCAGCTCATCTGCCACCTGGCGCCTTATTCTTAACGCCAACTTCAAATCTGCTACAGAAAAATACTGTTCCAAGGCTCCTCACTGCAGGTTCCTTTGTGTTCTCGTATCATCCGGGTTGAGCTTATCCACTAAGGAGTGCATCCATCTACAGGTGACCCCCGCCTCTTTCACCTACACACTCCCAAGCCTCAGTGAAAATGTCCTAAGAACAGGGGTTACACCTCTGAAAAAAACATCTCAGAACCCCAAACTCACTAAAAATTAAGCTTGGGAACTGAGCCATGCAAGAAACTGCCTGCTTTTTGTTCCCACGTGGATGGCGGCAACGTAGAAGGGCCATGGAGCACCCTAGGTGGCCTCCCTCACAACTGCTCAGGAAAAAATTCCTTGTGGGCCCTGAAATCTTTCAGAATAGACACTCCCCCCAAAAAAACTAACCAGAAATCAGAGTTCTGTTGACTCTTATCCTGGCAATGCAAATTAATAGCTGATCTTCACAGGTACTGGACAAAGACAAGACCAGAAATCATCCCTGGGCCCAAGCAGAGGAAGGTATAATGGGCTTTTCCTGACTCCTCTCTTTTCACATGTAAAATGCGGTTTCAAGGAGCACTAATCAAGTCTCACAAGAATGTAACCACCTCCCGTCTACCCCACTTCTCTTTTTATTCCTTTTCCTCCTTCCCCTACTGTGCACTCTTTCTCCCTTCAGTATTGAAGTCCTCAAAACTCTCTTTGGGAAAAGCACAGGCCACGAATCCTTGTGTAACTTGTGTTTCTTTTTCCTGGGTACCATCCTCATCCTTGGAAAATAAACCTCTAACTTGATGGAGACCCGTCTCAGACACTTCTTGGTTTACACATCTCAGACATCTGGGAAACGCCACAGAACCAAGCACAGGGCTTTGCGTACTGCGGACATTCAGATGCATGTTTCTTACGTTAAGTCCAAATGTAGACTCATCTGCTTTCTCTTGCACTTCAGCAATATTAAAGACATCTCACAACATCTCTCTTCAAAAGCCATTTCAACATTTAACTGATATTGTAGTCTTTTCAACTCTAGCTAATCCATTCGGATAAACCCTCCATGAAATTCCTATTTCCATCCATTCTAATGGATGGACTCAAGTCTTTGGTCTGCTCTTGTGTAGGTAACTCCTAAATGCTGTCACACTCCCTGTGTATCTGATATCTTTGAAATTCTAAGAGCCTTGGAAGGCTCTCAGGGAAGCTGAGTGCGGGAAAACAGTGGGCATGTGGGAGGTATGGTTTAACGTTGCCTCTTGGTTTGAGCCTCCATTGCGTGCTAGTAAGGCAGGCCTCCTCCCACACTGGGGAGAGAGCAGTGGCTACTTTGGAGGCATATTTGGGTCCCTAGTGCCTCATAATGGACATTCAGAACTTTACATGATTGGGGAAAAAAGTCTTCTCCAATAATGAATTCACCTCCAAACTCAGACTTTTAGAGGTCATTCTAACCCACTATTCTCAACTGACGTCTCTACCACCAATCAATATCTTCTTGAAAACTGAACAATTCAAGCCAATCTTGGCCATTTTGAACGCTCGGATGTGCGAAGCGCTGCAGCCTTTATGTCACTGAAGAAGTTTTCAGCCCTCACCCAGGTCATCACGTCACCCAGCCCCATCCTCCAGCCCCCAGCCCCGCCTGGTCTGACCTCATTCTTCAGGCTCCTGGCCAGGAAGTGCTCAGCGACGTGCGCGGGAAGCACGTTCTCCAGCAGCACACGGTTCAGGTTCTCCATGGTCTCTATCTCCTCCCGCTCTTTTTTGAACTTGTTCTTCCATAAGAAGTCTAACCTACAGTAATATTCATTCTGTTACAAGAGGACACAGAGGTAAAGAAACAATAGGCATCTTGTCCTGCCAGAGAGTGGAGGTTTTAAAGAGAAAACAAAAAGAACAAAATGAAACCGAAAAAAGAACCCCCAAACAGAACTACCACCCTCCCTACAAAGCCCTCTGTGTCCCTGAAATGTCCTTCAGTCAACCTCTGACACGGATTTGCAAAAAACAAGAACCAGCCTCAGAAACAGGGAAATCAGCTATATGGAGGCTTCAATTCAAAGTGCCATTAAAGCTTCCTGCAACATTATGCTACTACAAGATGGCTCAAATTATTTTTTGAAAAGAGGCATTGTAGAATATAAATGATGAATAAATGAAGAATCAAGAATACCTCAGTAGAGAGAGTGCATTTTTTGATGATTTGAATAAAAACTGTATTGTTCGTTTATGGCAGTTTGCCTTTAGCATTTGTAAATTAGTTTTTCCCTAACACAAATTGTATAACTATGTAATCATTGCAAAATATGGATTTTTTTCCACTTGGGATTGTGTTGTTCTGACAGAATGCCATTCATTACATTTAGAAAAAAGTTCATTTTGATATTAATTAAGATAGTGCCTGCTAGTAAAAACCTGTGTTCATGCTTTATAATGTATTAAAATATAACATATTTTAAAAGTAGTTATTATTAACATTGTAGGAATGGAGAGGCCCAATTACTGACCAAGGGTCTTTTGGGTCTTGGCAACATTTTGTGCCTCCTATGATGTAAATAATTTAATATAATGAAATAGATTTGAATGGATCCTCCTGTAATAGAAAGGCTTAGTGGAGAGTGTGTATTTCACACAGATAGTCACCTATTGACAAATAAATGCAAAGAAGAGCTAACTGCAAGTTTTTGGTTTGCTTTGTTGAGTTGATTAATTCTACCAATGACAAGTACAAAGTAAAACAAAACACACACACACATGCACACAGATGGCCTCTCATGCACAAATGAGAATTTAAAAAGTTTAAAATCCACATTTTGAAATTTGAAAGAAAAATGATTATTCATTAGTTAGGCTTGATTCAAATTATCTGTCATACATTAGGAAAACTCCTCCTCCTCTGGTGTGGTGTTTACGTTTATCTCATGTAGTAAGGCATTTTCAAAAACTGCAAAAAAGATGTTTTAAAAGTTTGTTTATATTTAGCCAGGATGGTGCCTCATGCCTGTAATCCCAGCACTTTGGGAGGCCAAGGTGGGTGGGTCACTTGAGGTCAGGAGTTTGAGACCAGCCTGGCAAAATCCGGTCTCTACTAAAAATACAAAAATTAGCCAGGCCTGGTTGTGCATGCCTGTAATCCCAGTTACTTGGGAGGCTGAGACAGGAGAATCACTTGAACCCAGGAGGTGGAGATTGCAGTGAGCTGAGATTGAGCCACTGCACTCCAGTCTGTGAAACAGAACTAGACTCTGTCTCAAAAAACAAAAACAAAACCCCAAAAATAAAAGTTTGTTTATATTTAAAGTTTCACATTCATGCCAGATTTTCCACACTATGGACTGATAGAAATTATGCTGTACAGTGACTAGAAAAGTCTTCCTACTTGAAGAATGGATTAAAAAAAAAAAAATCAGTGATGTGTCTGGCTTCAAACTAAAATGATAGATGCAACCAGTGGTGGGGGCATGGAGAAGACACAGGTGCGCACTTAAAATTAGACAAAAGTGAAGCATGAGATGAAACCTCCTCCAAGGGAGCAGTGAAGGCAGCAAGTCCAACCCAAGTGAGCATGACAGGTTTCCGTACGCCATGCTAGGATGTTGCTCAGGTTTTCAGAGCCATTGTTATTGCAGAGCAGGTAAGCATTTTGTAAGTCTCCTACTAAAAAATAATCACAGTATTTTGGAATCAGCTGCACTGAACTGAAATGACATTTTGCCAAATCAATCAATCTATCTATCTATCTATCTATCTATCTATCTATCTATCTATCTATCTACCTACCTACCTACCTACTTTTCTATTCGCCAAATCTATCCATCTATCAATCATCTTTCACCTTCCCAAACAATGTAATCTGTTTCGAATCCTCTGCCTTCTGTGTAAGTAGCTGGCACATTAGCAACTCGTATGAAGGGCCCTCTCAAAAAAGACTTTAAAAATCCCCAATCAAATGGAATGCACTGAATAATAATCCTTGAAAAGATAGTTCCAAGTCCTAACCCTTGTTATTTGTAAATGTGACCTGATTTGGAAATAATGTCTTTGTGGATACCATTCAGTTAAAGATCTCAAGATAATCTCATCCTGGACGTAGGGTCGGCCCTAAACCTGAAGACCGGTGTCCTTACAAGAGAAAGGAGGCGGGGATTTGACTCAGAGACACGGTGGGAGGCCATGCGCAGGCATCTAGCAGAGGCCAGGATGAAGCCCCTGCCTGGGTGACTCGGGGAGGGCCGTGCTGCAGAGGAGACAGAGGATTCTGTGTGCAGGAGAGGAACAGGGAGAGACACACAGGCTTCCTCAGCTTTGAGAGCCTCCCATTCCTAGGATTGCCACCCACCTCTCGGATTCTGCCTGGGGCTACTCTACAGGTTTTCAGGGGCCCAGATCCCATGAAGAGACGCAGAATTTGCTTTTCATTGGCTTTATCAACAATGAATGAGACAGCAGGAAGAGCCCGGGTGAATCCTCCAGTACATGCCTGGGACCCCATGACTCTCCCTGCTGGGGCTCACATCTAGCACAGCCTTGAGGGCAGTTCTGGGCTTTTTCTGGTTCTGAAAACAACCTGAGGAACTGGAGGGCTTCACATCTTTCTACATGGACAGAAGAACTAGTCATTGGGCTAGAGTACAGGGCAATTGGTGACCCTGTACATTCTTAGGTTCTAAGCTCTCCTACAAAACAATAGCTTCATTTTGAGGTCATGTAGACTGTCCCCTGGTTTTATAGGATACATGGATCCCACCTCAATGTGCTGCTGTTTAAGCTCTGGTGAGACACCAAGCTTCTTTCTTTTTCAAAAGAGACCCCTGAGTTGGCTAACACATCTATCATAAACTAGACTTTAGTACGGCAAGTAGCACTGTACCTGTTGCACAAGAGACGTGTTATGTTTTTATCGAGGCTACTTAGATACCTAAAGCAATATTTAGTATACTGATTTGCTCAGAAACCAAACATATCTCCATCATTTCAAAAAAGATGGTCATGGAGCAGGACGAATAACAATCAAAATAGGTTGCAAAATGCATGTACTATCATTTAATAAACCAATCAGGAAATATAACAACTGAGGCCACAAATGCTTTACTTATAGCACTTGAAAAATCTTATTTCCAGTATAGGGTGTTTTGTGATATACCTCCCCTCCTTTAGGGGGAGTACTAAAGCACTGTGTCACAGACTTCAAAGTTCTTACCCAGAAGACCTGGGGCCTTAGTAAGTCATTCAGTCAATGATTTTGGATTGCAGGTCAGCCTGCTGGCTCACCTTGGTATTTCCCACGGTGTCTTACATAGATTCGGTGATTTCTAGCTGGTGTTAAAGAATGGTTATGAGGAATGATAAATCCTTTAGAGGAAGTAATAATTTTTCTAGGCCTCTAGATGTAAATGTTACTTTTTGCTACATTAAAGACAAAAATGGAATGACTCCCTATAAGACTGGTATCAAGCCAATGGTGTAAAATTAATGCTCAATCATAACACTGAACACTTTTGATGATTTAGTTTAATTAGAAGGTAAGGGATCAACTCTCAGCCACTGGACTCAATCATAATTATGTAGTGGTACTGAACATGGATCATCTCAATGACCAGTAACAAAGTTGAGAGAATTTAATTGGATACTAGGTTCTTAAAGTTTGCTGCTGTGAAGGAATCTGAGTGATGATTCTAGCAGGAAAAAGCATCCCCAGCATGAAATGGAGAAACAGGTGACCCCACAGAGGGGATGGCTGCATTGTTTCCTGAGAAATGATCGTCTAGGTGATACCCCTATGCAAGGAAGTGCAATTCTCTCACGTTTAAATTATAGGGTACTCAAGGGAGAGCATGCCTGCCATATGAGTGAGAGCAGAAAGATGGCCAGTCACGAGAAAAGAAAAATGGGTTGCAGGAGAAACCAGGGAAAAAGAACTGGACATGGTACAGGTTGTCAAAACTGCAAGCCAAAGAATGCAGAACAGAGAAAACACAAGGTGGTGGGGTGGGAAGAAGGGACCTCAAACAGCTTTGCATCAGGACAGGACAGCTCGGTGCTAGGGAGATGGATGAGGGCTGCATCATGGGCTCCTAAGGAGGAGGCAGCTCACATTGCTTGGGAAGCTAGAGGAGGACAGTTGTCCCGGACTGCTGGCCTGACAGCCAGATCCAGACTCGGTCCAACTGACTATGCAATTCCTAACAGCTTTCTGGTGGGGAGAACTAGAAGTCAACTGGAAGCCAGACCAAACTCATAAGTATACAGTGTACCTCTTAGACACTGGACAGATTTAATTTAATTGGCATTGCTTCTTCATGGGTTCTTTCCAAATACATAAATCACTGCTGTTTGTTTGTTTCATGCCACCCTTCGCAGAACTTAAAACAGACTTTGGACGAGGCAGAGGTGCCTGGCTTCAGATGAGTCTTGTGGTCTTTGGGCAACTGTCTTTGTTGGAGGCAGAGGAAGAATAATTGTCTTTAAAAATCTTGCACCCACAGCCTCTACTAGGAGACCAGAAGGGTTGGGGGACCAAAGAAGGAAGAACAGTTTCATTCGCAATGCAAAATAAAGCTTTTAACAGGGGATCATATTTCTAGGAATGACTGCAAATGGCAGCAAAGGTATTCAGATCCGGTTCAAAGAAGCGTGCCACATATTCTGAAACGCAAATGAAAGCCCCAGTCAAGGGGATATATATATATATTTTTTCAAATAGTGTCAGTTATTGAAGGAACACTTTTGTAGGCTTATAAAACCTACAAAATTTATTTTGAGATTTAACAGGAAATTGACTGATTAAAATTTCACCCATTCATAAAATTCGCCTTTTGTGGAAAAAAAGAAAGCTATTTCCCCTTTTGTCTATAAGCATCCACACCTTGTACTAACTAGGTTTGTCTTCAGTGATAACATGATTCTGATTCTTAGACATTTGTTTCCAAGAAGGTTAACTACAATGCACAGCACAGCACTATTAATACAGCACTTTAGAGAAGGTGTATATATATGTACAGACTTCTTACCTGTCTACCCAGAACAAGCAGTGTGATGAAGAATATAGAGAGAGACACAGAGCCCATGGTCTTCAGGTCTTTCCAAATGCCTGGTCTATTAAAAAACAGACAGACAAACAGATAACAACACAACGAAACAACATGCACACAGGACTTAGAATTTGAATATCAACAAATGTCAGATTCTCTAGTGCCTGTCGACATCATATACCAGCCAAACACACGTTTCAAATCTCCTTCCAAACCCAGCTTGCATTAAAACAAAACAAAAATCCCAACTTTGAGGGCACAGTAAAATGATACAGATTTCCTACTTTATATCAAGCTACACCAAATATAAAAAGAAGACATAAGAATATGAACATTTTCCTTATATTTCTGGGATCAATATGGGTAATTGGATCTATGGTTTCTTCAGTGTTTTCATTACTACTCTCGGAAAGAGACTGTATGCTTGAAATGAATAATCACGTGAGGTGTAAACATGAAGTAGGGAACTTCATTTCTGCAAGCTACTCTCACCTCTGAATTATAGTTTCATATAACTTTCAAGCAGTCATCCAATCTTATTCACTCTTTCATATGATTTTGTATCACAAAGGCATAACAGAGATGAAAATTCTGGGTACACTGCCCAAGTGACCTCAGGTTCAAATTGATAATAAATGACATCAGTCATTTACCCCTGCCAAGATGTCACTGCACTGGGTAGGCTCCCCCAGTCCTCACTATCACATTCCAGGCAGTGAGCACCCACACATCCTTCAAATGCTGACATGCGAACATTTCCCATATAGGACTGTAACTAAGACCTGAAAAATAAAAGTGGATTATGCATGGACACCACATCACATAATCAGCATAGATGGTATCTGATCAACTACAGACAGCAGGTCATCACTTTCTGTTTGTGTGTTGTCCTGGCTTTTTTATTTTTCCAGCTTCTCTGTGGGGGATTCAAGGACACGTGAGATAACAAGAGGCTTTGGTGTAGTATTAAAAAGCCCAGGTGGACTTTAAAGCAAGAGAGCCTGGGTTTGAATCCTGAGCTATGGGGCCTCGCATAAACCCCATTCAAACGCCACTTTCCCCATCAGTCAAAGGTGGGTACCAACCCCTACCCTGCAGGCTGTTTTAGCCAGTACATTAAATATCTATATACCTGGCACAGAGCCTGACACATAGGAAACTCTTTCCAAATGGTACTTGTGATTTTTAACATTAATTACAGAATGATAAGGAAGGGGAGTGGGGTGGGGCTAAGAAACTAGAGAAAAAGATAAGGACACATAGACTGGAGAATATTCTTAACAGAATGAAAGACTCAAGTGCAAAGAAAAGGTGGACTCTTGCAGGAATGAAGAAACAGAATTGCCTGGTCCCCGTGGCTTAGGGGCTTAGAGCCACAGAGAACTCTCCAATAAGGTTGTGCTTGCATTAGGAGTTTTTTCCTCTCCACCAAACCTGCGGTGGATGGAGGAATCGGACCTCGTGAAACTGAAGGAGGTCATCATTTCTCTCTGAAAATGAAGCTGGGGAGCAGTGCCACCTTCCTGTTTCACTGGCATTAATTTTATAAAATGAAGTTGCTCCTTTCTGAGCCTATGACTGCGGTGTCCAACAGCACAGCTGAAGTGACTGATGGGTGCAGATGTTTAAAACCAATTCTGACACTGACTTTCATGAATTTTAAACTCTTTTTACTCTATATTGACCATGCTCATGCTATATTGAATAGTGAAAGTGGCACCACACAGCTAACATCCTAAGAAGCTAGTGCAGGCTGAGTTTTTAATTTGCACGCTGCTTTGTGAACATCACATTACTTTACAATTCCAAGGGTCCAGAGAAAGCATCTATGACATCCCCTTCTTCCACCCACCACCCCCATAATTCCTAAACTAAGAGTAAATCTCAGGCCAGGGTTTATAAGAGCTTCATCAGTGCAACAAATCAGAATGAAGTCCCCTTTGCATTTCTAACTAAAGGACCAGATGCCCCAAACATACAGAGCCAGCTCAGGCCCCTCTCACTGACAGAGAGACGTAGGTAGGACCCTCTTAGGCAATTCAAGACCTGGCTGGGTTTTCAGTTAATCAGACAGAAAATTCACACAAGCAACCTATTGGAAGAAATCCTGTCTAGGGAGTCCTTACATTAATGCATTTGAATCTTGGTTTATGGGGTAGAAATACCCTGCTCCACCCATCTCCCAGATCTTGAGTCTTCCTGAGGAATAGCGGTGGGTGGAGGGGGAGCTTGGAGGAAGCTAGACCAGCAGAGCCTCTCCTTGCAGGACTGGGGAGTGGATTGGAAAGTGCAGACCTAAATGGATCTCAGGAATCACGAGGCACCAGCAGCCCACAGAACCAACTGGCGTACCAGTACACGGCTGCCTTTTTCTCTTCTGAAGTTCTCTGACAACTACTAGGAACTCCATCTGGCTTTTCTTGATTTCACTTGGATTTCTCAAGACTTCTTTCATTCCGTTAGCAAAAGAGAACTGCCAACTCCTACTGAAGGCCTTCTCTCTTGTGTGGGCCACTTGTGGATGGATGTTGTTAGGGTCCCCATGGTTTCAGTGACTTATTTCTCTACTGTAGATCGGTTCCTAGATCTCCTCACTCTTTGTGTGTTCATGGGAAAGGTGGGAAGAAGGAGGGGCATGGAGCATGGTGGGAGACAGAAAGAGGTAGAGTAAAATCCCAGGACATCTTTCTGGCAGAGTAGTCAGCTGTGTTGATCTCTGAATTAATTTCCTAGAGTGGCTATAATGAGGTAGCATAAACTAGGTGACTTAAAATAACAGAAATGTATCATCTCAGAGTTCTGGGGGCTAGAAGTCTGACAGTAGGATGTTCTCAGGGCCTTGTCCTTCTGAAACCCTTAGGGAATCCTTCCTTGCCTTGGTCTCACTTCAGCTGGTTTGCTGGCCATCACTGGCTTTTCTTAGCTTGCCACCACATGACTCCAATTCCTGCCTTCATCATCATGTGGCATTCCTGCGTGTCTGTCTCTTCACCTGGCCATCTGCTTAGGAGGGTATCACTTATACTGGATTAGGGGTCACCCTCCTTCAGTATGACTTCATCTTAACTAATTCCACTTGCAATGATTCTATTTCCAAATAAGGTCACATTCTGAGACACTGTGGATTGAAGCTTTATATCCTCTTTTGGGGGACACAATTCAGCCCACCAATCAGGTCAGCTGTTTAGAGAAATATGAGCTGCACAGCTAGTTGGGTATGAGCTCTCTCTCTCTCTCTCTCCCCAACTTGCTCGCTCTCTCTCTCTCTCCCCAACTCGCTGTCTTTCTCTCTCTCCCCAACTCGCTCGCTCTCTCTCCCTCTCCCCAACTCGCTCTCTCTCTCTCTCTCTCCCCTCCCTCTCTGTTTCTTTCTCTCTCCTTTATGTTTTAAGGATGAAATCTACTTTGGACTCTCATGTGTTAGGGTGGTGCCATCACTGAGTTATGAAATAGGGAAGATACAGCTAATATAACTGAGAAAGTTTGTAACTCTATGATTTCCAACACAACGACAATGGTAGCCAAAATGTTATAGAACACACTTCCTTTCATATCTAAAAACCAGACACTGGGGACTCAGATGCTCACATGCCACACAGGCATCTGCAGTTGGCCCTCTGCCTGAGGTTGTTAATGGAGTAATCACTTTGCTTGTCAAGTTTCAGGAGTACGAAAGAACACCACACCCCAACAACACTGGGTGAGGGAGATGGAGGAATTGCTCAGTGAACCAGCCTGTAACTTGAAGGCAAACACTTCAGATGGAGTAAAAAAGGACATTTTCATGATTCTCAGGAGGGAAAGCAGTCCAGGCACATAGACACGAACATTATCTTACCTTCAAAAACTTTACATTTCTGTGGGTGAATATTTTTAAGAATAAAAGTACCCGAAGGAGTCTAATTTCTGTTGTGTTGTTAACAGTGGCTAGCTGAGGTAAAGTCATATCTTCTCAGGTCACTAATTGGGATAAATAAAAAAATCGGTTCACTGATCACTGAGGGCCACCACTCATAAAGACCAGACTAACAAGGAAACAATGACTCATGGTCTTCAGCTAATCTATCTTTTGTCCTTTTTTCATGCCTCTGGTTATACCATTACATTAGAAAATACCTGGCTTTGTTCACAAATGACCCCCAAATCCTCAGGAATCATCAATGTCAAATGATGCCGAAAGCAAATGTCTTGTCCGAAATGATAATGCCACAAGGATGAGTCTGCTCACTGAGCCTCACTCAGCAAGGGACTGGGACCTCAATCACAGAGCCAGAAGACAACATTGTCCCGCGTAAAACAAGGCAAAACACCCCAGAAAACTAATCTGAGGTTAAGATGCATAAGGCACAATAAGTCAGTCCCATGCCTTGTCAGAAAATCTTCAACCAACTCTGGCTTGAGAAGCAGCAGGGAATTGCTAAGACACCCTCGGTCTACTTTCATGGTGCCCTCTCCTGCTGTGTTCGTTGCAGATCCTGTGGGTTTCCTCTTTGGACTCTTCTCCCAAACTTGAGTCACTGAGGCAGTACCTTCCTCCTGGCCCGTGGCAGGCTGGTAAAGTGTGAGGTCAATGGCTCAGCCAGGGTTCCCACGCTCTGTATCAAGGGCATTCCATACAAGTGTGTTGTGAAAATGAGTAAGTGAGTGGACAAACTGAAAGGAGTCGGGCACATTCCTCAGCCCCGGGCTAACAACAAACAAGCCCAGTACAAACACATCCCATCCCACCACATATCGCCATATATCTCTCAGACTTCCTGAGCCCAGTACAAACACCACCTGGAAAGTCTCCGATAAGGAGACAGCCGTTCAAAGTTTTACTAAAAGCGCGGGAACCCAAAGAATTCCTTTGTTCCCCTGTAACTTTCGGGCTATAAAAAGCAAACACTCGCATTGTTTGGGGCCCTCTTGTATGCTGCGAAATGGAGGGTCCAGGTTCGAACTTGTAATAAAGATCCTTGCCGCTTGGCTTTGACTCTGGACTCTGGTGGTCTTCTTTGGGGAACAAATGGTCTGGGTATAACAAAACAACTGTGTTGGCTTGGAAATGGCTCGTCTTCCCTA